TGAGCTATTCGAATTTAAAGGCCCGTTTGGTTGGGCTTCCCTAGATTCTTTTTCTAAGAAGTGGTAAACCAAATAAGCCCATAAGAGAGGGATGCCAAAGGATCCACCCCAAGGTCCCGTCACTTGCACTTGCAACTGTGCATTGTTTGACCCTTGCTTATGAAGTGCTGATTTGAAGTTGTTTTCTGATGCATCCATTCTCACGTTTTGAGTATCGTCTAGAAATAGAGTTGCTGGTTGATATGCTAGTAATATGCATAAGAAATGAGTGTCTAAGGGCACTGAATAATAAACCCCATTCACTCCATTTGATTTGCTGTTTTTCTATTTTAAGGGTTTAAATGTATTTATCATAAAATCCCTCATTTTTGGCAAATTAAAAAGGAAAAAAAAAGAAAGAAAATTTTTATAAGTCTGACATAATTTTATAAATTAAAAACAAAAAAGAGCAAACATGAATTATATATGGTTACTAATTTGTTTAAACCAACGGATAACTGAGTAACATATTTTGATTATTAAATAAATATACATGTAATTGTAACAATTAAAACATATTAGTCAATTGTTTGTCAAAATAGAAGAATAATATATAAAAAACACTCTGATGTAGCAGATTACACAGCCATGGTATAAACAAAAATGCATATACCATGCCGATCATTTACATTGAGGGAAATATGATGATAGAAATAGGTAGCCAAGGTCCTCGGTGCTCCTGCTAGATTCTTTCATGTAGTAGTCCTCAAGGTCCCATTCCTTATGTGCAAGTTAAATTTCTCTAAGAAAATTTGATGATTCCTATCTCCCTACTCTTCCTTTCAAAATTTTTGCCTTCTAGTGTACATCCAATTCCCTTCACACCAAAGAGACTAACTGGACAACTTCCTTTACGAGCCCCCTCTTCATTTGCATGTACCAAATCCCCAAATTTCTACTTATTGATGAGAAGGTTTTCTTTTGAAGTCTGCTTGAATGATATTGAAGAGAACTAATTCTCTAGGAGCACAGGGAGCCACAGAGATCCTTCCTAGCTCTTGAGCTGAACATGTTGGGGAGTAGTAACAGCAAGGAATTAACTAACAAAGGTTTTCAATCTTGTAGCTAGTTTTGTAATTGTGAAAAGGAAATGGAAACCATGATAGAATAAGCATACAGAATCATGGCCGTTAAGCTTATTTTAATAGTTATATAATAAAAGGTTTGAGTGTTGCAATTCTAAGCAAGAAAAAGATTGTATAGTTGGCATACGAGTTCAATCGTTTCCTTCCCAAATAATTAAATTCCTTAAAGTTTAATGCATCTACGTAGTACATAATACCTAGTTTAGGTCAATAAACAGTTGTCAACCTAGGAACATTAAACTTTGAAACTTAATCTTCAAACACAATAAATAACAGCAATGAGGATTAAATATGATATGGGAAATGACATGGTCCAATCTTCAACCTTCTTTATTGCTCCATTGTTCTGCAGCATAGCTGTTGAGGGTATTCTTGGGATTAGCTTTGCATGCAAGAAGAGTTATTGGTCAATTTAGAGAGATATTTTACCAGCGTCTTGGATTAAATATGAAAGAAAGAGAAACTAAATCTCCTTATAGATTTTGAATGGACAATAGAATGGTTTTGCAATCATAAGTAGAAGACCATTTGTCCTATTGCAACATTAAGATGAGTTTTAATTAATAAACATTTAAATAAAAAAAATTCCACAACCAATGATCCCTTGGTTTAGTAGTAAAGCTATCCCATGAAAAATAAAAAAAATGAAAAAATGTTATAATTCCAATAACCACCCAGGCAATAGGTTCAAACACTAGAATATAACAGAAAAAAGTAGAGGTTTCCTTTCCCAATCTTGTTCTCCTGCTGTTAAGAGCAAATGGTTTAACTGAAAACCAGTATACTTGCTTAATTTGATACCTGAAGAATACTGAGGCAAACGTTCCCACCTGATCAACATTTGGATGGAAGCACATAGTTTCAAACCTGACTTGAGGTGGCTTGAAAGGGTAGTCCAATGGAAATTACAGGGAAAGTTTGTATGAAAATGCCTCATATATAGTTCCTTTTCCACCTTCAATTGTGCCAATCCACGTCAAAATGCTCTCTAGTTAAGAAAATGCTGATACTCCAGATCTCCTCCACTCATCTACATAAGAAGACAATCAGGTATTAAGTGAAAATGTAGTTCAAATGGAACCAATAACAAAGGCTTTTCCTACATAGGTAATGTACTGTGTACAGTTACTAAGTCATCTTAAGCACCTAAACACTTTAACAAACATGGGACAAACATGGTCCCAACTCCTAACAATTAAATTTAATAATCTTTTGAAGGGTGGCATAAACATATTTGGAACTTGGAAGCACTCATCTCTTATGTTATGGATTATAACCATGAGCTGCCCCTTGACTTGAACTCAAGATAGGTCATATTCCATCCACAAATAAATACTCATTCTTGAACTACCAATCACACTACTTAGAAATGAGAGAATGAATTCTAGTCAATAATACAGAAACTTCCCCATCTTAAATAAATAATCGACATGCCTGCCGTTGAATGTGCATTAGGATACGAATGCACCACCATTTAGTGGCATGCAGCTCATCAACATTTACATAGGTAAAGAAATATATTTAGCTGATTGCATGAATGGTTGATATGCAAAACTCAGTAAAAGGAAAAGTAACATATTTTTTAATAGGTGAAATTTAATAGGCAGATGCACATTAAAACATTCTGAGTAAGTTTGATAATCAGTGGAGTTGATTTGAAGATATAATTAAGCACCATTAAAAAAAGAATAGTAAACATAATCAAAATCATTTCTTTCTATTCTTTTCTGCGTTTTCCTTCTTGACCCATATTCAGAAGTTCTATTAACAATCTATTTACAACCTACAACAATATAAATTACTGTTCAAACTGTCATACTTACAGAATCAATAAAAAATCCCATGTTTTCCAATCAAAGGTTAAACTAAAGGAAAATGATTCATTGAGGACAACAAAGCCTCACAACAGCCATATAAATCATGGATGCATATCGATTCGGCAGGAGCATAAAAAAGTGTATACATATAAAAGGCTCAATAGTCACTTCAACGTGAGGATTTGATAACAACAAATTGTTCTCAATCATTTTCGTAAATTAAACCCAGTTACAGAATTCTGCGGAGACAAATTTGAAGCTATAAAACTAACAAGCAAATTCATTTGTATAAATAAGACATTCAAACAAAAAATTGGAGGAAAATATGAAAAAACAAATTGAATGATTGAATTCGATCTCTTACTCACCTAGGAAAGAAAATAAACAAAATTTCAGAACTCCAATCTGATTTAGTCAAGATCTCGAATTCCTCGGACTTGGTTTCCGGGCGTTTCCTCAGCAGCGTCGTTCGCTAATGAGGAGCAGAGTTAAAAGGCAGTTCGGGTTTTGGGTTTTAGAGGTGACGGGGCTGAGATGAAATTGCACGCGTGAGGAAGAGCACGTGTAACAAAAATGTTTTTAAGAAGAATTCCGCTGCCGGGATTTGAACTCTATATATATTAGGAATTGCCAGAGTGCTACAGTGGACTTGTTTGTCTGTAGTCTAATTATTATTTTACTTTGTTTAAATATAAGTGAGATGAAATGGCAAGATTAGATTTGTTGGTTGTTATTATTTATAATTTAAATATTTTAATACATCAATCTTTTTTGAGTAATTATGTGGAGGATAAAAATTTAAAATAAAAATTTAGAATTAATAATGTAATTTAAGTCATATTATTAAATTAATTCATATATAATATCACAATTTTAAAAAAATAAAAAGAATCAATTATTATATAACATAGAATTTATCTTTTAATATTTTAAATAATATGACATAAATCGTATCATTGGTCTCAAATTTTAATTTCATTACTCATTTTTTTTATATAAAGCAATTAATCTAAAAATTGAAGAACTATTAATACTTGAAAAGTTTTTTCTATTATTCTTCACGCTAGTTCAATAGATGGTTCATCAAAATAATATCAACCTATATATAACAGGCAAGAATACCCCCTACATCTATAGTTTCAAATAAATTTACTTTTGTAGTTAAAAAAAAAAAAAGAAAAAAAAAGCCCAACCTATACCTAAGTGGTAGAGCTATGAATCTATGGCATATGCATATTTGTTAACCTCTCAAGTTACACATCACAGTTTATAGTGC